CATGTGAAAAAATAGCAAAGTCTGGATTATCTCCTGGGCCAAACTGGTTCCAAAGTCCGTGTTTAGCCCATTGCAAGAGGAAGTTTCAGATTTATTGAAAGTCAGAATCTGATGTGGCCATTTAATAGATAGAGATTCTCAGGGCCAAGCAGTAAGGTTTCTGATTCCAGGGGTCCAGGCAATCATATTTTTCAGATGCTCTCCTACGTGGTTCTGATGTGTTTGGTCCATGGACCTGGGTTTGAGAACCCCCATGCTTTGGTCTGCTGCTCTCCATTGAAATAGCTGGAGTGAATTTGACTGGAGTTTCCTTAGTAGCCGTACGTAGCTGATATCCTATGCATGTGTGAGAAAGGAGGGTGAGGAGGGGGGCAAAGTAAACAGGAGAAGGAATAATTGATTGGGGGATTTTATTATTTTATCCCCACCACCCCCAGATATTTATAGCTCAAATAATGCTGCAAAGAGACCCGTGGACTCTAAACTCATAAAATGCCTACTTGGGAGTCAGACTGTAATTTACTTTTCTAAAGATGCCTCAATTATATCCAAGGAAAAGCCTGGTTACATTTTTAAAACTCAGGAGCAGCAGCTTTTAAATTTATTCAGACTAATGAGCGTGTATAAATTTGGCGAATGCTAATTCGCAAGAGTCGGTTGCGGCGGTGGGAGAAACACAACAAGAGTGTCACAGCCAAGGAACAAAGTGAATGGGTGATGGGAGTGACAGTAAAGATTTCTTTTAACATCACTAAAAGGCGGCTGAAGTGACAGGTAAGAGGAGAGATGCAGAAGTCTGCAGCACTTGGAGAATTTGTGTACTATCAGAAAGGGACGCGTTGACTTGATACTGACTTAATAAGTTCAGCAGAGAATAAGAGCTGGGGATAGAGGCTGGGACCTATGGCAGAAGGGCGTCCACCCTGCTTCCTTGGGAGCCAGGAGATGTTGATCACCGTGCCTGGAGAATGTGGCTTCTCATCTCACTGGAGGCCCCTCCTTTTGCAGATTTCAAGGCATCAGGCACATGGTTTTAATCTATCTCCACAGATCTCAGAAATGAATTTAGCCTCCCCTGGAGAGAGCTTCTACTTAGGATCACCTCGAAGGGAATGAAATCCTAAATCAAAACCCATCAGTGTACACCTGGATTTCGAGAGAGACGCTCCCCAATCACATCTGCAGGCTTCTGAGATTGGAAGCCTCCAGCCCAAGAGAAAGCAGTGGGAAGCAAAATTTTGAAACCTTAATAAAGGTGGCTTTGGCTTTGAGGCCTGCAATTGTGTTTTAGGGGAAGGAGGGATGTCTGAATGGAATGCAGACTCCAAAATGGCTAAAGTCTCCTGGTTTCAATTTCTTTCTGCTGAAGGCAAGCACCTTCTCATGCTGCTCTGTTGAGTTAGACTTGTTTATGATCCCAGGAAACCCAGAATCCACCTTGAGGGCACCCCGATCCTGGCAGACCCAGAGTCCAACTTGAGCGCACCCCTGCTTACCATTCCACCCTTTCCTCTCCTCACTTCCGCCAGAATTATGACGCTATTTGCCATTTTTACAGATTAAACTGTGTCTCCCAAATTCATATGTCAAAGGCCTAGCTCCCTATGTGACTACATTTGGAGATGGGACCATAAAGGAAATAATGAAGGTCGAATAAGTTCGTAAGGGTGGGACTCTAGTCCAATAGGATTGGTGTTCTTATAAGAAAAGGAAGAGACACCAGACCCCTCTCTCTCTGCATGTACGCAGAGGAAAGGCCATGCAAAGACACAAAGAGAAAGCACAGCTCTCTGCAAGCCAGAAAAGAGCCCTTGCCAGAAGCAAACCCTGTTAGCACTCTGCTCTTGAACTTCTAGCCTTCAGAACTATGAGAAAATAAATATCTGCTGTTCAAGCCACCCAGTTGGTGGTATTATGTTATGGCAGCCTGAGCTGAGTTTCTATTCTCAGAGTAATCCCTATGTTTCAGGCCTTATGCCAGTTGCTTCTTTTGTTTGGAGTGCCTTTTCTGAGGATCATTTGAGCGATCACTCCCTTGATGATCAAATGATCCTCAGATCAAGTTCCTGAAAGGCACCCTGGATTTTTCTAGATTGCAAGAGTATCCTTGCTTAGTGCTTACTTAGCACCTCATGCCCCTTCTCTTGTAATGTTGAACCCATTGTCTTGAAAATGTGGCATTGCCTGATTTGACTCTCAACTAAGCTTTAAATACCTTGAGGCCCTAAACTCAGACTCACATCTTGGTGTTTGCAGAACCCACCCACCCACCTTCGTATATGTCAAGGACTCAAATGTCATCACTGCTTGTAGAGTAGATTGACTGATGGATGGATGAAATGAGTTGATAAGTAAACAAAGACTAGATGGACGGATGGACAAGTGGCTGGCTGGCTGGATGGGTAGATGGATGGATGAATGAATAGTTGGATGAATGAGTGGGTGGATGAATGGATGGATAGATGAATAAATGGATGGGTAGGTGGATGGGTGCATGAATGGATAGATAGATGGACGGAAGGATGGATGGATAGATTAATGGTTGGATAGATGGATTGAAGGATGGATGGGTAGATTAATGGATGGATGATTGGAGGCGTAGTTGTCTAAAAGCCTGTTACATTTCCTAGTTCAGAACTCTCAGAAGTACACAGGATAGGAAGGGATGGAGGTTGAAGCACCAGAATATTCTTCCCTAATACACACTGTTCTTTTCATCAAACCTTTATAACTAAAATGTCTTTACTTGTTCCCTTTCATGCCCGTGCCACTGGCTGCTGAATCTTTGAAGCATTAAATAGATATTCTTAGATCTTTGCCTAGAAGCACACTGGTCACTTTATTTATTTCGGATGTTGTCACATCCCATTGTTGGACTGATTTCTATTCAAAGTAGAGTCTGCAGAATAATATGAAAGAGCAGTAACTGTGAATCAGGCACTTCAACAAATGACCGTCTCATTTAATTCTTACAAATAAATACCTCAAAGTTGGTATTATTAACCTCATGTTATAGCTGAAAGCCATGAGGCACAGCCAATTGAGGGCAAAGACAGGATTCAGATTGTATGTCTGCAGCCCCCCTAGTCCAAAATCGCAAGATGAATGAGCAACCCTGCTGCCCTGTGCCTTCTTGAAAGATGGACACCAGTGCTATCTGGAATTGCACCTGCATTTTCTGCAAGAAGAATTAGGCTGGGAGACATATTTCTCTTTGAAATAGTTTTACTAGGGACATTTCCTACTGTGCTGAAAGCTGACCTCTTGGACAAACACACTGTCATAAAATCATGCTATTTGCTACAAGTGCATTGGGAGTTTTAAATCATCAAACTAAAGTACCCCAGGCTCTGACAGTAAAATTTTCATTCAAAGAAGAACTCAGCTTCACAACATAATAAATTATATATGACTGGGACATATAAAAGATATACAGAATTTCTCTGCATTTGTGTTCAGTGAGTGAGTTCAACTCTTGAAGTACTTTTTTATGTCAATCCTGCCTATTCATAAGAAGACAGTAGGCCCCTTTTTCTTTCCCTGCAAATGAGATCCAACAAAACAAGTTGCCTTTATCCCATATTCTAAAGTTCAGATTTTATATTTTGTTTTTTTTCTGTTTTTTTTTTCCTCCAAGAGTGTGTTGGGATGAGGCAATGACACAGTAATAGCAGGACTGCAAGCGCAGTCTGTGTTGACCTCTGAGACCTGAGTAATTAAACATTGGAGACACCCACCAGAGAGACTGGAGGGGGCCAACCAAGACATGTTAGGATTTGGATTGGAGGCTATAGTTAAAGAGTGAAGCTCATACAAATAAAAGCTGTAATTATCAGGAACCACTTTTTAAAGGGTGCTGAGTTTAGAGAGACATGTATTAAAGTGATGGAAATATTGCATTCCACGACAAGCACTGTCCTGGCACATGGTAGGCAATACATGACAAGGTATTTTGTCTTCCTGGACAGAAAGATGATCCTAGCATAATGCTAATACACTAGTGTGTATTTGTCAGCAATTGCTGCATTAATGCTGTATAACAAACTATGCTCCATATCAGTGGCTTACGGCAACAAACATGTTCATGTTTATGAGTCACCTGCAGTTTGACTGAGCTAGGTTGGGGTCTTGCCTGAGTGGCTCTAAAGCAGGATCATGAGCAGCTGGACTTGCCTCTAGACTGAGGATTGTGTTCAATACCATGCTGTGTGTTTCTTCCTTCTCTTTGGACTGAAGCCATTAGAGGCATACTCTGCTCTTGGTGAATGGCAGAAATCCAAGAGTCAACAAAAACAGGCAACGCCTTAGGGAGCCTTGGCTCAAAACTGGTTCACTGTCCTTCTAACTAATTCCACTGGCCCAAGCAAGTCATATGCCCAAGGCTGATATTAATGGGGCAAACGAATACCACCTCTGTGAGTGGTCTTAAAAGTCACATGGCCAAAGGCATGAATATATAATTCAAATACCATGAGAGTATGAAGAATTGAAACACTTTTATCTACCTCTTCTGGGCTTTCCTGATCCTAATCTGCTGCAAAATTTTGAGTAATCTCTGTCTCCAATTCCAGCAGCAATCAAAGTGTGGCCTTGATCAACAGCACCAGCCTCACCTTGGAATTTATTAAATATGCAAAGGTCTCACGGTTCTGCCCAGACATTGTGAATCAGAAACCTAAGTTCAGGTAGTTAAAGTTACTTTTGCAAATTCACACGGCACTAAGTGAGGGTCTGACCCCAAAGCCCCTGTTCTTTTCATACATCTCACTGTCTACCAGGAAGAAGGGGGAAGGGAAACAAGTAGAATTGGCAAGTTAGTCAATATTTTTCTAAGTGAAAATGAGAGTTAAAAGCACCTTCCAAGTATGCAGACAGCTCCATTCATGTGCCTTTCACCTCTTGCCAAGCCCACATTCCAGTGGCGGTATTTGGTTAATCATCCTTTGTGCAGAAACTTGATCCCAACCCTCAGGTCCTTCACTGTGATTTAGTCTATTTTTGTTTTCTGAAATCTTGTCTGTTTCCTCGGTGACTTCCAGGCTCTCCCAGCCCTGGAAGGGGAATGGTGACGTCTCTTGACAGGTAAAAGCCCCTTCTCCTCACAGGCAGCCTGAGCCTGAGGGGCCTCCCCTCCTGCAGCCACTATGCTGCAGGGTGACGTCCCCTGAAGACATGAGTGAGGGTCAGCAACCTACTGGGCAGAGGCAGCACTGGCAGCTGGATGGAGCACCTGCATTTAGTGACGCAGGGCCCTGTGGCTGGGGACGGACTAGCTCAGGCCACAGCTGACTGGAAGGGCGGAGAACTGAGAGCCAAGGGTCTGGTTCAGACAAAAACCCTGACTCTTCAGAGCTGTGTGAGCAAGACATCCTTCCTGGGCTTTAGGAAGCTTATCTACCAGTGTGGATGAGGATCATTCTTATTATATTATACATGTTACTATATGGTAAGATAGAAAATAGCACAGTATTAATACAATATAACACTGTATCATATTATAACATGTGTACATATATGCTAACATATTAATATGTTAGAGTTTTATATAACTATATATAATATAATAAACAATGTCATATTAAACATTAAATTTGTATTATATGAATATATTATTTTATGTCATTTATTATGCTATATTATGCATACTAATGTACTATATACCTATATTATATTATTATAAGTTGTAATTATAAATTATTACAAATGTGGAAACATGATGTATATAATATCTATTATAATAGAGTGTAAAATCGTATTTCTGATATAGATACTATAGTAGTATTGCGTTGTATTGTTATTACTACTCTTATTACAATGGTCATCATGTGTTGGGTTTGCCCTAGAGTTGAGACTCCCACCCTGGTTTCCTGAAGTCTAGAACATGTGTGCTTCAACCCCAAGCAAGACTTGCCTCTGCAAAATCAGGGACTTCAAAAAAGGTATACTTCCAAAGCCCCTACTACTGTACGAAACTGACTGAAAGGTCAAAGACACTGCAGGCTCTGGTGTCAGACACAGCCAGATTGGAGTCTCAACTCCATCACTTAGTTCTGGGCCAGGCCCCTCCTGAAGTCTCAGTTTCCTCATCTGTAAATGGTGATCATTTTAACACCTAAATTACAAAAGCTAAGTGATTGCAGAGATAGCTCATGTTTCAAGGCTCAGCATATACCTGGAACACAACAGGTATCTACATAAATATGAGTGTGTCTTGGGGGCACATGCCCAGGTCTGGGTTGAACAGTGTCAAGTGTGCAAGCTAGGCCCCAGTTCACCAGCTGGGTACTTAGAGACAAGCCTCATAAACTGTTTGGGGCCTTCTGACGTCAATCCCTACCTCTTGTTGTCATTGGTAGGGTGGAGGTGATACAGTGCACAAAGCTCTTGACTCTCAGTAGGTCCCTAGTAAGTGGCACTCTTTACCAGAGCCCCTGCTTTCCTTCCAGAGCTAGGACAAGTTCCACTGTGGATGGCAAGGAGATGAGGGGGCAGCAACCTGTTAACGAGACTCAAGGATGTCAAGACCCATTTTTGTTATCTGGATTTTCAAGGCCAAGTTCAAATGTGAGGATCCTGGAAAGGTTGGCAGACGTCTGCTGAAGCTACCCTCTCTTTTGTAAAAGTCCACAGATGAGAAGTGGCTGTAGTACATAAACCTGTGGACAGCTCTTCTTGTACTGTCACCCACTCTCATAGCTAACCACCCTCAGGCACCCTCTTATCTCTGCTCACACAGTCCCCACCTGAAATGCCTAACCTGCTAACTCTACCCAGTGAAAGTCTGTGAATCCTGCAAGGTATGTCTGCAATGCCTCCTTTCTTCTGCTCATTCCTTCCACAGACATGTATTGTACATGCCTTGGGTGCTCAATGGCAGTCTCTGGATTCCCCAAATAGTACAGCGGTTTCTTTTAGCCCTTCCCATTGCACTTTTCAAGGGCATTTGCTTTTGGCATTCAAATTTGTGTCTAGTACATAGTGGAGACCTGGTTACAGAAATATTGCAGTAGTGAAAACAATATCTGATATCCATGGGCTTGAAATTTACCCTCTGCAAGTGTAACTGGAGGAAAATACAGGAGTCACCAACTATGTGCAGTTACTGAAATTCAAATTAGTTGAAATAAAATAAAACTAAAAATACAAACCCTTGTTCTCACAGACCACATTTCGGGTGCTCAGTAGCTACATGTGGCTGTGACTGTTGTATCACCCGGTGCAGAGAGAAAGCATTTCTACCCTTACAGAGCACTCCACTAGACAGTGCTGCTCGGGGTTCTATATCCCCCTGAACCTCTGCTATTTTCTGTCACTGGGTCCGTTTCCTTTAAAACTCTAACCAATTATTTGCACACTTATTCGTTTAATGGTGGTTCCCCACAAGTAGACTGTAAGCTCTGGGAGAGTAAGGACTATCTTTATCTCTTTTACCACTGCCACCCATACACTTAGAAGAGACCTGGCAGATGACAAAAATATATTGCTAAAGTGAACAAATGGGATGTGAGCTTCTATCCACTAGAGAGTCATAGGTCTCTAAAGGGACACCATGCACCATCTCTCCAGCCTTACCTGGTCCTCCAGATGCCCCGCAGACACCTTGTGCTGTGGCCTTTGCTCCTGTAGGGTTTCAGCCACCCGGGACATCCTCCTACATCCACATCTTCATGACTGAATCCCACCCAGACCTCAAAAATGAAATGAAAGGCCACCGTCAGGAAGCCTTCCTCAATCCAGTGCTTCTCTCTTGTCTCCTCATCTTCTTCCCCCTTAAAAGACTTAAGAATGATGTCCTCCAACTTTGACCACCTTGGCTTTTAAACTGCAACTCTCTGGAAGCTTCATACCTGTTGCCTTATTGATGGCTGATTTATACACACTTGTTCATGTTTCTTATCCACTACTTGAGAGAAGGGTCTAAGTCTAACTTACAATCATCTTCCCAGGCTCTGAGAAAAGCGTTAAAATACAGCAGAGGCTTAAAACATAATATTTGAATGAATATATGAGTAAATAAATGATATGTTTTAAAGCTATGATTTTACTATTTTTAAATGATCATTGTCACTAAAGAACATCATTTCTTCATTTTTCAATCCATGGCTTTTTATTTTTATTTTTTAAAGATTCATACCAAACAATACAGCATAAAGCTCTATAACTTATAAAATTTGTAAAACCAAATTCTAAAATTAAGAATTTATTATACACAAAAGTTAAAGAACCTAGGACTGGAAGAAGTGAATTTCTGTACTGAAATGTCTTTAGGAATGGGCACATATTCATTTTTATTTTGCAACAAAGTAATTTCATTAAAATAAGAAAAAATGTGAACCGTTAGTGTGAACTTACTTGTGTTTTAGATGAATATTAATCTTATATCTAGAAGTATATGTCTTTCATCAGAATTTCAATAAAGAAGCAATAAATGCAGAACCACCCCTGTATCCCTTTTTCATCATATGTTCAGAAGTACCATGAGGACAGTTCTGTGTGTTTAAGGCTTGCAAAGTCTTTGCCCATCCACTGTCACCTTCCACTTTTGTATCAACCTTATCATTTGGAATTCTGGTGAATGCTGGCTCTCCAGATATCACCAGCACAACCTGTGGATATTAAAAGCTGTTTACTGCCTACTAAAGTAATGGTGAACCTCAAAAGAGCTGAGGCCACGTCTGTGAGGTGGGGAGGGAAGGCTGGAAATTATTCCAGCTTGGAAATTCAGTTTAAGCAGGTCTTTCCAATGGACAACTTGACTGGAATTAAGTAAGAATCCTAATCCAACAGTCCAGACTGAATAGCATTAGCAAAGTGAAGAAGGGATTGAAAGAATGTTAGGGTGCAAACTGTCAATTATTTTTTACATTGAAGAAGAGTGGATGGTTGTTTTGGGAAGTCCTTGTAATGAACAATGAAGTTATCAAGCCATTTGCCTGGGGCCAGAATCTTTGGCCTAGTAAGGTCATGCTAACCAAGACAGTGGAAGAGTAAAGTCATATTAATGTGGGGAGTAGATTGAGTGAGGACAGAGAGTTTCAGTCCTTGGTGATTTGATCCAGCTGTGTGTGCAGGTGGATGCTTTTTGTTCTCAAGCCACACTGGATAGAAGAGAAGCAGATAGATTTTACCTTCCCCAAAATTATACAGCTTTGTATTATAGATACCATTTCCTTCCTCTATATAAATGTAAATATTAAAAATATGTACATATACACATGTTTCAATATGTAGAAACATACACACACACACTCACACACACACATATGCCTGTATATACATGTGTGTGTATATATATGTGTATATATATGTGTGTCTATATATGTGTGTATATATATGTGTGTATATATGTGTGTGTATATATATGTGTGTATATATATGTATATATATTTGTTTAAAATGATTGCCTGCCTTGTTCTTGAACTCTGGAGTGTGAATTAAAGATCCCTCCCTGTCTGCAGGGAACGCGCCCCTAGGAGGGTAGAAGATGATGTAGAAAGAAAGTTGTTCTTCACTGTCTGTAACAGCATATGCAAAATAAGTCCTTAATTTGAGTGCTTTTTGAAACACTACAGTTGATTTCTGATCTATTAAAATGTTATATAAGTAGAGATATAAATACACATTGATCAGCATTTTATTTAATTGTCTTTCTCGTTTGAGCCACCTTCCAGGCAGGTGGCTATTCATAGCATTGAGAATTGTAAATGCTGGTTTGCAGCTAGTACTTAGTGACTTAATTTCATTCTGTAAAATATTGGAGGCGTGTGGAAAGGTGCTATTCTCTTTCAAGGAAGTAATCTGCAAAATGAATGCTAGATTGGGTATTAGGGCTAATGGAACATGTTAATAATATAGCAGGTTAACACTGACACTTACTTAGATAAGGCTGCCAGAGCTGGGACACTGAGGCCCTGAAGGAGGCGTTCTTCACTGTGTTCATGCTTAGAAACTCGCTTCTTACTTCACAGACACAACTGAAATGTTACGTTTCATATCTACCGCAGCCACAACACAGCACCCAACACACAGCTCTCCTTTCTCCAGCTCTGCAGGCTGATCTTGTTTTACACTGTACATTCTCCTTGTTCCAAATTTTATCCAACTCTCTCTCTTTTTCTATGCAAAGAATAAGACACTTGGACAAGGCAGTTAATGGCAATTTCCTAAGGTTTTTGAAGACCCTGTAGACGAGGATGAGAACCAGCATTCTAAAATAGGAAGCTCAGCAAAGCAAAGGATGGCAATGAGGCCACGCATGGGAAATTACAGGAGCAGAGGCTGCCCCAAGAGGGAGCGCGAGGCAGGCAGAGGTTCCCATCCAGCCTCACAAACTCAGGGCACCATAATGAAGACAAGGTCCCTGTCTAAACAATCCTTTACCCCACGACGGCGTCCTTAGACTCTAGAGTGTGAATTTAAGATCCTCCCCTGTCTGCAGGGAGCCCACCCTGCCCCCTTCTGCAAAGTGAGTCTAACAATCCCTACTTAGCAGGGGTTTTGCATTAGTCCGTCTTCATGCTGCTAATAAAGACATACCTGAGACTGGGTAATGTATAAAGAAAAAGAGGTTTAATGGACTCACAGTTCCACCATGTGGTTGGGGAGGCCTCACAATCATGGCAGAAGGCAAAACACACGTCTTACATGGCAGCAGACAAGAGAGAATGAGAGCCAAGCAAAAGCAGAAGCCCCTGATAAAGCCATCAGATCTCGTGAGAGTTACTCACTACCACAAGAACAGTATGGGAGAAACTGCCCCCATGATTCAATGATCTCCCACCGGGCCCCTCCCACAACACGTGGGAATTATGGGAGCTACAGTTCAAGGTGAGATTTGAGTGGGGACTCAGAGCCACACCATATCAGGTATTGTATCAAATGTGGTCACATGTGTTAAAAGACTTCGTAAATTGTGAAATTCAGAAGAGGGTATAATCAACATCATACCAACAGTGAATACATCTGAATGATGGAATTAAGTCTTAGTTTGATTTTATTCTTTATAGATCTGTGGTGTTTACAATAATAAACACGCTTTTCTTGTTCCTGGGAAGAAAAGCTGTAAAATAAGAGATATGTATGCGTGTATGCCTGTAAAGAAAAAATGAATGAAGGCGGAGTCATTCCAACTATTTTATTTTACCTAAATTAAATATTTTATGTCTATCGCTAGCAAGCATTGTATTCACTATTTGTTTTTTGCTGTTGTTGTTTTTTGAGATGGAGTATCACCCTGTCGCCCAGGTTGGAGTGCAGTGGTGAGATCTCGGCTCACTGCAACTTCCGTTCCCTGGGCTCAAGCTATTCTCCTGTCACAGCTTCCCAAGTAGCTGGGATTACAGGCACCCGCCACCACGCCCAGCTAATTTTTGTATTTTTAGTAGAGATGGGGTTTCACCATATTAGCTAGGCTGGTCTCTAACTCCTGACCTCAGGTGATCAGCCCACCTCCGCCTCCCAAAGTGCTGGGATTATAGGCGTGAACCACCATGCCTGGCGTATTTTCTCTTTGAATCTATTTATTTAACAGTTTCATCATTTTCCTAACTGAATGGATGCTCAGGAGGGCAGCCATTGCTCTAATGGTTTAATTACATGGCCTCCTCAGTCAGGGCAATCCCAATGTTTGTGATGTAGGAGTGAGGGAATGAAAGGAAAACCAGGCCCTCTCCACAGTTCCCTCCCATCTTTGAGCCCACCCTGCAGCAAGGACCGACTGCAAGTCTACAGACTGCATGGTGCATAGAGACAGCTGCTCCTCTCCCACTGGTGACACCATCCTCCCTGCAGAGTACAGACAGGAAGAGGCCTGCATCGGCCCAGGCAGTAGAAGTGGGCTTGCAGCTTTAAGCGAGGAATTTGGGGTAGGCGAAGTGTGATGGGGAAGGCGGAGTGGGCTCTGGATGGGTGGGTCCCTTCAGCCCCAGGAAGTCCTCACCTTGATAGGAGGGTTGAGGTTGAAGGAGAGCCCAAGAGGATCCTTGAGAATGGAGGGCCTAATTCTGAGCCCCGCAGTACCTGAATTTAAGGGTAACAATGTCCTAGTGTTGACTATGGTCCTGCCTGAGGGGTGTCCAATAAACTTTGGCTAAATAAAGGAATAAATGAAATGGGTCACCACATGACATTCATGATTGTAAGAATGACTTAAAAACTGAAGGTGAAAACTTCTAGAAACTTCTCTCTGCTTATGCTAGAGAACA